TCACTATCCACATGCCAAGATCTCATTGGATAACAGTAAATAAGCGCACGCCACGTCAGCCTTGACGTGGCGTACACTTGCAAACCACTGAATATTCTCTCACATCTCCTCGATCTCTATCATCCCTGGCGCGAGGATGATTCAGTGCATGGTGACGGGAAGTACGTAAGCCAAGCAACACATCTGGTGGCCTTCTCTGTTGCATTATACATACCCCACTTTCACTCCTCTCGTCGGCAACATTCGCTCTTCTCTCTTACTCAATTTCAGGACAAAGATTTAGCAAATCCCATCTTTTTTCAGTTTTCACGTTTGATTAAGATACTTCCTCCATACTCGTTCGAGGAACCGAAATCTCGAGAGGAGAGAGAGAGATTCGAGCGATGGCGATGTATCGTTTGTCCGAGGCTGTGCACAAAACGGAGGCCCTGCTGGTGATGGTGGTCGTCCAGGTTGCGTTCGCCGGCGTCACCATACTATACAAGCTCGCCGCGAGCAACGGGATGAACCTGATGCTCGTCATCGCCTACCGCTTCATATTTGCGACTGTTTTCATGGCCCCTCTGGCTTTCTTCTTAGAAAGGTCACACACAACACACTTCTCTTATTAAACCAAATTTTACAAGTGTAGTGTATAGGTATACTGATTTTGTGTTTCGGTTTATAACAGGAAGAGCAGGCCAAAGATAACGTGGACAGTGCTTGTCCAAGCCTTCTTTTGTGGGCTATTTGGGTAAGTGTGTGTTTCTTAGTGCACTGATGTTCGGGTTCTTGATTACCATGCCTTTTTTTTTTGTTTAATCTATAACATTTGGGAAATGCTTAGTGACTTGTGGTGCTATAAGACAGCACTTATGTGATAACAGCCTAAAACCCATGTTTCCATGTACTGCAGCAGACTAGACGCAGCCTTCACCAGATATTCCTTCTAAAAGAGACTTCTAGTACATAAATATGGAAGACTCGGGTGTTTATGCACGGGGAAGTTTCTGGTCTTTTATTGTTGACTGGGATTGAATGAATTGCAGGGGATCGATGGGGCAAAATTTGTACCTTGCAAGCTTGTCGATGACATCGGCGACGTACGTCTCGGCCATGGCCAACCTCACCCCTGCCGTAACCTTCGTCTTGGCTATTTCTTTTGGGTATGTACAGGAATGTCTCGTGCAAGTTCCTCGACATGTAATTGGCTTATAATTCACTAGAATCGGTCTTGGCGCGTATGCTCGGGGATCGTCAGCTGGGATGTTCTTCTGACGTGGCGCGTGGTTTTCTTTCATGTTCACGTTGGTCGATGGCAATTAGGTTGGAGAAGGCGAGGCTGAGGACAGTTGCAGGGAAGGCAAAAGTGGCGGGAACATTAATGGGGATTGGTGGGGCAATGCTGCTCACGTTCTACAAGGGCGTGGAACTCAACCTGTGGTCAACTCACGTGAACCTGCTGCGCCACGTGGGGGCGACCCAGCAGGGCCAGGAGGGTTCGAGTAATCTCCCCCTGGGATCGCTTTTGGCCGTGGCCAGCTGCTTCTTTTACGCTTTGTGGTTGATCATTCAGGTGGGTCTTTGCTTGATCTTTTCAATACGTCTTCACGTTGTCGCCTTTGATTTGCCTTTTCTTTTCATTCTTTCTAGTGTCGATCACCTTTTCCTTTTCAAGGTTCTTCTGGTTAGTCTGGGAAAGATTGCATGCGCATCCAAACATCCCGAAGATTCGTTTTATAAAAGATGAATTTTTCTATTCCGTTCAATGGTTCATTTAGTGTCTCAATAGATCTAAACGATTGTTATATGAAAATCAAATTTATAAAAATGAGATTGATGGTTGAGATTTATTGAGGTACCAAAGCAAACGTATAGGATTTTCACCCTTTTTTTATATATCTAGAGAAGTGATACTCCCCGAATTTTGTATTCGGTCTACAAGGACTCATGAGCCTTCAAGGGATTGAAGTTGATCGAGTGATTTAAGTGCACTTCCAAAATAACTATAAAGGTCACACCTACCACCTTACAAGTGGAACGTCCCTCGATGTCTATATATCGGTCAAATAGAGAATCTCAAGTACCCCATGGTTGTAGAGGAAGATGCAAGAGGCCGAAGTGACCTCGTGCATAGTAACAAAACGATGTAGCGTATCAAAACATTCAGTTTTTTTGCTTGAAATAAATAAATGACATATTTAAAATGAAGAAAATATCGTAACGTGCATGTCGCTAAGTGTCGTTTCTCGGTAACTAGAAATTATAACGTACAATGATTTGTTTGACAGGCCAAGATGAGTGAGGGATTCCCATGCCAGTACACGAGCACGGCGTTAATGACCTTCATGGCATCAATCCAAGCAGTGGTTTACGCATTGTGCCGAGAGAGGGATTGGAGCCAGTGGAAGCTTGGATGGAATATCGGGCTGCTCATCGTATCATACTTGGTACAATGTGACAAACACTTTACTCTCTAATGTTGCGTGCATTTATTGGGGGCGGCTTAATAGCGATTGTTGAACTGCCGTGGTATGTGTTGTTAGCTAATTTGCCACCTATTGCGTGGCGTGGTTTTGCTTGTGGTGTTGTAGGGGGTAGTCGGTTCCGGGTTGTGCTATACTCTAATGGCTTGGTGCGTAAGGGTGAGAGGACCGGTCTTCGTGTCGGTTTTTAATCCTTTGATGCTAGTGACCGTGGCCTTGGCAGGGTCTATGGTGTTGGATGAAAAATTGAACCTGGGAAGGTAAGTATATATACATATATTTTTAAAGCATTCGAACCTTTCGAATCACTTAACACAGGATATCTAAATTCCTCGCTTTATTTCAATGGCAGCATTCTAGGGTCAGGGCTCATAGTACTTGGTCTCTATGCGGTGCTATGGGGCAAAAGAAAGGAGAATAAGAAGATGAATCAGTTAGTGCCCTCGAGCAGCCCCAATGAATCTGAATCCATTGAGATCGTTGTTGCCTCTCCCAACAAGAACGACATTAAGGAGGGCGACGATGTTCAAGAGTTGGCTCAAAAGGAGAGCGATGTGATCCAAGAAAGTTTTGAAGGGAAAAGAGGAGGAGGAGGAGAACAAGCTTAAGGAGCAACTGACCTTGGATTACTGTATGATGTACATTGTCCCTAATATAGGCGGGCATAGAAATGCAAAAGTGGCAACTTCGACTTGTCCAAGATCGGGCATTTTGGTAAGTAGCCGATATCGCACAGCAATGTCTATTCCATAGTCAAGAACTTTAAGATATACCCAAGTCTTTAGCTATTCCCTTTTGTATAAGTAATCAGTTCATTCATGGAATGATATATGCCCAACTCAGAGATTTAGCCTCTCCCAATGATATCCTTTTTCTGTTCTTTAAATCGCATCTTTCAACGTAATTAGAATGTTGTCCGGGCATTACTACGGTTAACTAAAATATATATCAGCCAATTATAATGCTATTATGATTCTCAATTAAAGAGAAGTGTATAGTTGAGTTCTATGTGTAACTGCTTTTATATCTCAACTAGATATACTTGATTTCTTTGCAACCATGGATCATATCGACCCCGCTAGGACAAATATTACGGATCCATCTTTGGCTACCAACCCAATCCAAGCACTGGTTCACATCTTTCTAAGTCTTAATTTAGTAAGGTATTAAATGGATATGAACTTACGTGATAATTCTTTGCATAGAGCATAAACTCATTAGCTAATTTTGTGGATATACCTCATAATAACATATGTTATGAGATTATGGGTATGATTGATTCTACCTCTATAAGGCATAACTTACATATCAGGTGATGAGCATGGTCTTAGCTTGGACCATCTAACAATATAGTATTTTCCCACTCAGAATTTCATATGCATTGTCTAACTATAGTAAAAATAGAAAAGTAACTCGAGTTAGTTCTTCTTTATATAGAGCACACCCCATATTAGAGTGGGAGCTAAACCAACTAAAATGGATGGTTTCGGAGCCATTTAGATTTTATGACCAAATAATACCAAGTTTTAAAGAACATATCTTGTATCATCTCTAGATTTTTTTATGAACGTTTAAGTTAGATGATTAAGAATTTATATCACCTCGTAACATAAATAGCAAGTTCATGTCTGTTATAGTATTTTTTTTTTGTTCATTTAATCATTGCTAAAAGTTTTAGAATGACGAAACAATGTTGCCGACATGATTTAGAGAAAAGGAAGTCTTGATACTCGTAAATTATAAACATAAAATTTTCTCACCACATAATTATATAGTTTATAAATATGTAAATATTTAATGAGATGTTTCGAATCGTGATTTTTAATTTTAAAAAGAAAAAAAAAGCAAAAGAAAAAGCGAGAAAGAAAGAAGAAAGTATAAAAAGGGAGGCAAAGACAAAGTGGGAGTAGGTGTACTCAATCCCACTCTGACCCATTATATACTCTGAGTACTCTCCCCAAGGAGGCTTGGAAGACCCTCCTTCCATCCTTTTTATCGAGAAAAGCATAAGACCCAAAATTAGTCATTATGGTAAGTGCAAAATTAAGGCATTCGTTAGTTTTAAGTTATCATGTATAGAGACAAGCATAGACAGGCAAAAGTGGCGACTTCGATTTGTCCAAAAAAGTACGGAGTACGAAAAGTGACTAGTAACAAATATCGAAAAACTTCGACAAAAAAAAACATGCAAAAACAAAAAGGGAACGGACAATTTATCTGCAGGACCACCGAATCGTCCTCCGCCGATTCTGTTGTGCAACCTTCCGTGCGTCCTTTCTTGCTTTTTTTTTCTCTCTCTTTCCCGCTTCCCTTTCCGTGCGTCCTTTCTGAGCCGGATTCGCCATATTTCGAAGGAGCTGGTGGTCCTCCGCAGCAACCGCGACCGTCTTTCCTCTGCCGAGAAGGGTTAGTCTTGTAGAGAAGGGGAGCAAAAAAACGAGCGGACCGCCTCGCTCGCTGGTTCTCTCCTCTGGAGTGCGGCACTCAGCTTGGAGAAGTCGCCCCTGCTTCTTCATCTGCCTGGTGAGTGTTCCCTCGAGATGGAGGACGACGTCAGTTTCTTGCTCGTGGTCGTGAGATTTGTAACCGTTCGATTTTGTCGCCATCGGTGGTTCATCGTTGAAGTGATCTGACCCTGAGAATTAAGCAGGACTTACACAATCGCGCTTTTGTGATTTCGACCGTGATCATCTCTAGATATCTGTTGATGTGCAGCTTGATGTTGTATCCTTTTCCGCTGTTGCGTCGGTTTAATCTAATCATAAGCTGTTTGGTTTCCTTCTGAATTCGTCATGTTTCTGTGAAATTTATTCGATCTTTGATGGGAGTTTCAGTGCTTTCTGTTTCCCGATATGTTGTTTCACGGGAATCGACTTTGCAGTACAAAAAGCTCGGACAGTAAGCATGCCTACTCTTCCTCGATTATTCAATCTTCCAGTTTAGCACTGAAATTTCAGCATCTAATTCTGCTTGTTGCCGAAATGCATTAATCGTCTCTACAATATACTTCCGAGCACCCTGGTTTTGAGCGCCCAGCTGAGCTTAATAAGGAAACGAAAGAGGGGGAAAAACAATTGCAGTGCCTGGCAACATAGGGCAGCTAGCTTGTTTATAGACATACGACCTCAATCCCCTTCCAGCTAGATCAGTTATCGGGTTGCACGGTTTAAGATCTTAGAATATAAGTATGTCAAATTTAAGCAGAGTACTTCACAAATCAGGTTTCTTTTCTCATTCATAACAAATCTGATGAAATTTGTTCACTCCCTGTTCACTGTGAGAGATGTGGTGATTGCTGCACTTTGCATTAGGTTAAAGGCTCTTTCCTCTCTCTCCTGAACTTGGATGAAGTGAGATGAGTTGCAGTGCCTGTGTTACCCTACTTGTCCTCTGCGGGTTACTCGGACTATTAATGACTATACCATCTGTTTCATGCAATAGCTTGCGCACTTCACTATTTAATGCAGCAGTAAATGTCTAACTGGATGAATGTTTTCATGTGTGAAGGATGTTCGACATTTGGTGCTTGCACATCCCAGCCATGGATAGAACGTCATTTCTAGGTCCTCCTCTTTCTCACTCTCTCCAACTGCTTCACCAATTTTGAATATATGGTAACAATCTGAAGACAAAATCATTTGTAATCAACAATTTAATTGTGATTCTTTCTAGCTCCATTACGTAGTAAAAGCATATCGTGTTATTCTGGAGTTGTAATACAACAAAGCCAGGTTACAACAGATGCTTTGAGTCCTCTCATCTTAATACCATACGAGTTGATAACTCCTGATCATTTTGCATGGCTCAGACCTGGTGAAAATGGTCGAGAGAACAATAAAAGCGGAGACCTACCGCTCCCCAGTAGACCTATACATCTTGTTGGAGAATCATTGGGAGGATGCCTTGTGTTAGCTGTCACAGCATGCAACCCTGACATTGATCTTTGATTAATCTTGGCCAACCCAGTTGAGAAACACTTTCTAGTGAAGTTAAATATATGCAACAGGACGAGGAAATCAAGTTGTTATATCAACTCTGAAATGATCGGTTTTCTAACTCATAATCTCTGGAAAAACAAAGGCGACAAGAATCTTATGTATATGCAGCCTTTTCTTGTGGTAAATGAATTGTTCTATGTGAGTTATGCAGTGTCCTCATTGAAGTATGTCGGATTAATGCTTATGTTCATTTAGAACCTGTGTCAGTTGTCGCAGCTTTGCTTATTAAATAAGAACACTATACATATTTTTTTGCAGCCACGTCTTTTGACAAGTCGGGAATACGACATCTATTACCTTTGCTGGAGTTCATGCCGATACTGTTGCAGCTAAGCTATCCTTTCAACCTGAGTTTGATGGCAGGTTTGCGTTGCTCCTTATTATTTGTATTTTGCTGCACTTTTCCATGTAAAGTAGAAATTGTTTCAGGTTTATTTTCGCACTTCTTTATAGTATACCAGGCTACTGATTTGTGGACGCTGATAATATAGAAATCTACAGTTGAGGATAGCCTACTGAATTACTGAGGATAGCCTAGGCATGATTGCCCGTTAATGTCATGGGTACCACAATTGCGTATTTAGCGAACCTTTCTATTCAGCTTCTCTCTCCGAACTGTTTTTTCTTTTACCACCTACATTTATTTGTGGTGCTACAATTACAGGGGATCCCCATAACATCTGTTTCATAGGTTTAGATGATGGTTGCCCTTTTTTAGGAATACCTTATTGCTTGCTGATGGTGAAAAGGGGGCATGGGCTGCTGTGTAAATGTGTTGGGGTGGTGCTATTACTGAAGTGCTTCTGAAGCGTGGCTATAGTTTGGGCACACTCAGTAGTTAGTACCATATATATCCGGCTGCAGCCATGCTGTAATTTTCTCCACTTATTCTAGTTCATTTCTGGCAGATATAAGGTGATCCTTCGAGGACATTCAAGGCTAGCACAGAAAATAGGGCTTCCTCCACAGCAAACGATTGGAGAGCTATCAAAGGACATATTGACCACGCCATCTTACATATCTGTAAGCTAAACTATCGCCATCATCTTCATGAGACTAGCAAACTTTTTTGCAATTTATTTTCCTCGATGAGTAGAACTCTTACCAATCACATTTTCTTCGGACATGAACAACAAGCTAGACTTGCGCTATGTCTATAATTTTTTGCTTGAAAAAAAAATTATGGAAAAATTTGCAGGTTCTTGCTGATATTCTTCCGAAAGAAACATTTCTGTGGAAGCTTCGGATGCTTAAATCGGCTTCGGCATATACAAATTCATATATTCATGCTGCCAAGGCACGGAATGTACTTCTTACACGGTGCTTATTTTATCTATTCTGTCAAATCTCATACAATTAGATGTTTGGAGATTAGAGTTTAGGATGGTTATGTAGATTTTGGCAAGCAAATATCCCAGCCAGTGTTATTGCTATCTCACACATCTCCTAAATAGTAAAGAGGAAACATAATGCTAACACATTGATATATTATAGCAGAGGCAAATGAGGATCAACTTGTTATCCTTTTGTTGACCGTCATTGAATCTCTTTTGAACTACTAGGTTACTAATACGTTAAGTTTCATAAGCCCTTTAGTAAAGCAAATTAAATGGATTCTCTCACATGTTTGTGAGATTAATATGAAAAATTTCTAGTATGAATGTATAATCAAGTTAATCAAGTAAGCATCTTCCAATGAGCAGCTTAAATATATTTGCATTGAAGGGGGATTTACTTGGGCTAGAAATACCAAATTAAAAAAGCGGGTAATTAGAGTTTTTAAGATATATGGATGCGCCCATCAACATATCAAAACATAACTCATTTTCTTGAGTTCATATATTAGATAGTAAATGCAGTGCAACTACTAGCGCACTGGATATTGTCCCCAATATGTTTGACCAAGTCGAAGGCTACAGTTGAAGGTTAAATTATTATCTTAATTTAACTGCATAGAGTCATTTAGTAAAATCTATATAACACTGGCTAGTGCCCATTGCTACTGCGGATTTGTGGTCATTGTAATCCTTCATTTCTTTGGTTCTTTGCCCGAACCAACTTGATTTTGTGAGCAGCATGATGGTCACATTTCCTTTCTTTTTTTCCTTGGTGTCAGGTGATCTATCTACTTATTAGGTGCTTGGTCTCTGTTAAACTTTTTCGGCATTTCCTTTTGTCCACTTTCTTCAACCTTTATTTATGAGATATACAACTTCTTCTTTAAAGTTGCGATCATCATGTATTTTTGTGAGGCAAATGTAGACTAACTTTTATAGGGATTTGTAATTCTAGTGGGAAGAATCAGCTATTGCCAAGTCAAGCAGAAATGCTAGACGACACGATGCAGTGCAGAGAAGTGATCTCTGTAAGTTTGATGACTGGTGATTTCCTTTTCTTAGAAGGTTTCGCTCTTTCCAGAGGCTAGAATTACGCATGAACTACTATCTCATATGTGTTCAGCGATTTCAATAGAATGGAAAAAAAAAAATCACCCAACAAGTTTTAGTATCTCCACGATCCTTTCTAGCTTGGCTTGCCTTATCAAGTGAAAATGTCAAGAATAAGAACAATTTAGAAACTTGCTGCTAGTCTTGAGTGCTCTTCTTCCTAGATGACTATTTGACTTCTGAACTTCCACCATCTCCAATCCAAGTATCGTGTTCTCCCTTGGTGAAATTTTGTAGAGCCATTAATATTAAAATTACTCCTTTGATTGATATTTCGGATAGGTATCTGCAATACATTACGAGATAATGATGCCGAGTCCATTCTGCTGACTAGTAAATCTGTTAATATTGGCTTTACTCTACTCCCTGGGGATCATCGTTTATATATACACTTAAGACATCCAAAATTGTTTTGAGATATTCTTTATTGTTGATCACTAAACTCTAGGTAAAAAAATATGAGCACTTTCTTTTCAATTAATAACCATGGCTATCAACTCTAATAAATGAGTACATGATCCACACAACCGCATACTACTTTTATAACCGATGTTTCTCTGTTAGATGAATAATGTCACTGCAGAATCATACTCGTGAGGCTGTATATCCTACTAACCCCTGCTTAAAAAATATGATACAGTTTAGCTTCACTGAAGCATCCTCTTTTGTTCTTTGCATGCAGAAAGATGATTTTGATTTAACTACCATTATTAAGGGCGTTAACTTCTACCGTCGTGGAAAACTTCTACTACCTGCCACCAACGCCTGCTGAATATAGGAAGTTATATGGATCAAACAAGTAAATTTTTTTGTCCAATCTTTGTCTGAGGGTAAAAAAAGATAGCAGTTTAAGACATCTAGGAAGTTTACGGATATCGTTTTCTGCATACTTAATCCAGCATTTGGTCAGCTAGTGACCTTATGTACGATCCATTCTAGCACCCATGCATACAGTATTTTAAAGGTTCAATGAACACAAAAGAAGATACGTGTTGAATGGTCAGAGTAAAATAGTTTCATTTGACTGGTTTGTTTCCATATCAAGATAGGCGTGTCCTCTTTAAAAGAGTTACAACTTTGTATTAGTTTTTAACGTTTAGACTTCTTCCCCGACAACTTGCATAAATCTTAGATGGTTTGATGAGATAACTGGACTAGTAATATTGTCAGCTTTAGAGAATGGGAGTATTGTCAGAGGTCTGAGATTCCATTGAAGGGGCCAGTTCTATATGTTGTTTATCACTTATTTTTGGGGCGTGTAGTGGTTGCTATGGATATGTGATAGGAACATACTTATACGAGGATAGCATATTCTATACTCTTTGAGAAATATAGAACAGAACAAACGCTTGAGCGGGGTTTTATGACACTTTTCGGATGATGGGTGCGGTACTCGTTTCAGGGACCAATTTGTTCAAACTTCTTTTGTCAAAGTGTCATGTCTTGTCCTATCCATGAGGCTAAAGCACATCATCGTACTAGTGCTAGAACCTCAATATACTATAGTTGTCAGAATTTATATAATTAATGAAGTAATTTGAAATTGGATCAAACAAAGGCAAGCGTTTTGTTAAATAATAATCATGCATGGTTGATAGTTTTTTTATCACCCTCGCTCTAACTACACTTTAGGTGTTATCTGTAGTTACATTGTCATATCTCATCATCTAAAACGTCCGTGTTTGTGGCACATGCACAAGGGCATACTTAATATTCATGTTATCTTGCTCTAGCAAAGATAAAATCTATGCCTACATCAAAACTTGAAATAATGTACTATATAATTGATAGGGTGAAGAATACAAGCTATTTTGGCCGAAGCAGTTTGAGTTTGTCTAGATGGCAGTTAGATTTGGAGCCAAAATAGTGCCTTTTGGTACCGTTGGAGAAGATAACTTTGATGAAGTAAATCCTCTGTGAGCTCTTAAGGAGCTTTGTGCTTTCATCATTGTCTATCAAAGATGTTTGAAATTGTCGTCAAGCAAAACACATGAGCATTAAAAAAACCCAAAACATTCTGTCAACAATTCCTTACATCTCTGATATACAATGATAGGGGCACAAAGCTTCACTAGAGCTTACAGAGGACTTACTTCACCAAAGTCATCTTCTCCAACAGTACCAAAAGGCACTATTTTGGCTTTAAATCTAACTGCCATCCTGCAAACTCAATCTGCTTTGGTCAAAATAGCTTGTATTCTTCACCCTAGCAATTACATATGACATTATTTCAAGTTTTGATGTAAGGACAAATTTTCTCTTTGTTAGAGCAAAGATAACGTGAAAGTACTTCCTTGTGCATGTGCCACAAACATGGACATTTTAGATGGTGAGATATGATAATGTAACTACGGATAACATCTTGAGCTATAGTTGGAGCGATGGGTGATAAAAAACTATCAATGATGCATGATTATTATTTAACATAAGGCTTGCCATAATCCAATTTCAAGGTATTTCATTAATTATATAATCTCTGACAACGGCAGCACATTGAGTTTTTAGTACTAGTTCCCTACTATGAAGTGCTTCGCACATGCCTCCTAGATAGAGGAAGATATAAGACTTTGACGAAAGAAGCTTGAACAAATTGGTTCCTGAAATAGGTACCGCGCCTATCATCCGGAAAGTGTCATAAAACCCCGGCTCAAGCGTTTGTCCTTTTTTATATTTCTCAAAAAGCATAGTATGTGTGTGCTATCCCTCGTAGAAGTATGTTCCTTTGGTTCAGGAATCGGACAACCATAGGAAACCACTTCAACCCCTTGGTTCAGGAATCGTATAACCATAGGAAACCACTTCCATCCCTAATAACATGTGATAGCCAAATGGAATCCCATCTAGACCTCTAACAATCATCCCATCCTCTAAAGCTGGCAGCATCACCGGTCCAGTTATCTCATCAAATCATCTAAAGATGCTGTAAGTTGTCAAATAAGAATAGTTTAAAGGTTAAAAACTAATCCAATGTAGGAACTTTTTTAAAAAGGACACGACTATCATGATATGAAAACAAACTAGTCAATTGAAACTATTTTGTTTTGACCATACAACACGCATCTCCTTTTCTGAGCTCATTTCATTGAACCTTTAAAATATTGTATTCGTGGGTACTAGAATAAATCATGCCAGAAGGTCACTAGCTGGCCAAATGCATGATTAAGTTTGCAGAACACGATATGCATGAACATTCTAGGTGTCTGAAATTGTTATCTCTTTTGACCCTCAGACAAAGTTCAGACAAAAAATTTTATATGTTTGATTCATATAATTGCATCATATTTTTTATGTGCAGGCGTGAGTAGGGTTATATAGCCTCACGAGTATAATTTTGCACTTACAACATTCATCTAACAAAAAAACATCGGTTACAATAAAAGTAGTATGCGGTCGTGGGGAATCATATACTCATGTATTAGAGTTGATAGCCATGTTATTAATTAAAAAGAAAGTATCGATATTTTTTTCATCTAAAGATTAGTGAGCAACAACAAAGTATATCTCAAAATAATTTTGAATGTTATATAAACGATGATCCTCAAAGAAAAGTGAAACTAGTATTAGTATTAATAGATTTGTCAGTCAGCAGAACGGACTCGGCATGATTATCTCGTGATGTACTGCAGAATACCTATACAAAATATCAAAGTAATTTTAATATTGATGGCTTTGCAAAATTTCACCAAGAGAGAACAATACTCGGATTAGAGATAGTGGAAGTTCACAAATTGTATATTCAACTAGGAGGAAGAACACTCAAGACTAGCAGTAGGTTTCTAAATTGGTTTCTATACTTGACATTTTCACTTGATATAACAAACAAGTTAAAAAGGATTGTGACGACACTAAAACTTGTTCTATTCTTTTCGAGGGTGATTTTTCTTGTCCATTTTATTGAAATCATAGACACATATGAGAAGTTCATGCGCAGATAAACCTACCAAGAAAAGGAAATGGCATAGTTGAGATCACTTTTCTGCATGCATCGTCTAGTCTAGCACCTTTTGCTTGACTTGGCAATAGCTAATCCTTCCTACTAGAATTACAAATCTCAATAAAAGTTAAACTTAATTTACCTCACAAAAAAACATAACGATCACAACTTTAAATAAGAAATTTGTGTATCTTTAGAAATAAAGGTTGAAGAAAGGGGACAAAAGGGAAGGCCAAAGAAGGAAGAAGTTTAACAAAGACCAAGCACCTCATAAGCATATAGATCATCTAACATCAAGGAAAAAAAGAAAAGAAACGTGACTATCACGCTCCTCACAAAATCAAGGTGGTTCAGGCAAAGAAAATGAAGGATTATAACTGAAGTAAGTCAATAATTTAACCTTTAGTTGAAGGAAAACACATCGAAGTTCTTCCAAATGAGGCTGTAGCCTTCGACTTTGCTAAAGATATTGGGTCAATATCCGCGCTAGTAGTTGCACTGCCTTTTTTTATATCTAAATCTGAACTCAAGTAAATGAGTTATGTGTTTGACATGTGGATGGCTCATCCATATACCTCCTAGCTTTTTAGGAGATGTGTGGGATAGCAATAAAATCTACATAACCATCATAAACTCCAATCTCCCAACATCTAATTATATGAGATCTGACAGAATGGATAAAATAAGGACCTTGTAAGAAGTAGATTTTGTGCCTTGACAGCATGAATGCGTGAATTTGTATATGCCGAAGCCGATTTACGCATCTGAAGCTTCCATAGGAAGTGTTTCTTTCGGAAGAATATTAGCAAGAACCTGCAAATTTTTTCATAAATCTTTTTCCAAGCGAAAAATTACAGTGGAGGTGCAGAGCCAAGTCTAGCTTGCTGTTCATGTCCAAAGAATATGTGATTGGTGAGAGTTGTACTCATTACATGAATTCGAGGAAAATAAATTGCAAAAAAGATTGCTAGTCTCACGAAGACAACGGCCACGGTTTGGCTTACAGATATATAAGATGGGAACATGTTCTTTGATAGCTCTCCAACCATTTGCTGTGGAGGAAGCCCTTTTTCCGTGCCCAAACTATAGCCAAGCTTCAGAAGTACTTCAGTAATAGCACCACCCCAACACATTTACACAGCAGCCTGTGCCCCCCTTTCACCATCAGCAAGCAAAAGCTAAATAGGAAGGTTCGCTAAATATGCAAATGTGGTACCCATGGGCATTAACGGGCAACCATGCCTAGGCTGTCCTCGGTAATTCAGTAGTTTTTGAAGTCGAAATCTCTGATGACACTTGCTTTCAAATGATTAGAAGATATCTTGCTATATTGTGAAAACGTATTGTTATATTGTGTAACTATATAGTATTAAACTATTTCACAATTAGAAGATATCTTGCTATATAACTTTTTTGATTATCCTCTACTATCAAATGATTATGAATCTACATTTTCATGAAATGTTACAAGTACACATGAAAATTCACATTTATACTTAGGGAAAATACCACCAAAACCCCCAAACTATGTCACTTGTGACAAATTTAGCCTGAACTTTTTTTTGTGACACGAAAAATCCCAAATTATGCCACTTGTGACAAATTTACCTTGAACTTTTTTTTGTGACACGAAAAACCCCAAACTATGCCACTTGTGACACATTTGCCTCAAAATACTCTGACCCATGGGTATTTTTGTCTTTTTCCTTTTTTCTGTTTTTTTTCCTTTCGTCTCCGGCAGAGGGAAGCTGGCGAGGGTTGCCCTCGCTCGCCCAGGCGAGGGCGACCCTCGCTAGATCCAGCGAGGGCAGCCCTCGCCCAACCCACCGCCGGCAAGGACCGCTCTTGCCGGCTTCCCTCTGCCGGAGAAGAAAGGAAAAAAATAGAAAAAAGGAAAAAGACGAAAATGCCCATGGGTCAAAGTATTGTGAGGTAAATGTATCACAAGGCATAGTTAAGATTTTTCGTGTCATGAAAAGTTCATGATAAATATGTCACAAGTGGCATAATTTGGGATTTTTCGTGTCACAAAAAAAAGTTCAAGGTAAATTTATCACAAGTGACATAGTTTGGGATTTTTGGTGGTATTTTTCCTTATGCTTATTGAAGAAATATACGTAGTGATGCTAAACATATACTTTTTTTTTTGCTGACGTAGCAAAAATTTGGAAGTATTCAACTTAGTGGACTATGACTTTGTCCA